TTTAGGGCTGTTGTACATAGGGTCGATATGAGTCACAAACGACTTGACGGTACACAACAACAACATTCAACTCTTTAGTATTTTGAATTTTTCCCTCTGCTTTGGCTTCTCTGCACTCCAGTGCAATTTTCAGTCTCTTCTGACGTCCATTTTGGTCTTCTCTTCCTCTTCTGTCTTTGAAATGACCGTTTGCACTCTTCTTGGATGATACCCTTGATATCCTCTCACAACTTCTCTGGTCTTCACTATTAGTATTTAAGGCCTGAAAACTGTTTCTGAGCTGGTTTTGAGCTGGCTGTGCCAAGAAACCTGTGGAACAACTGTCTGGCCAACTGACTGGAACGGATCTATATTTGTTCCCATCCCAGAGAAAGATGACCCAACTGAATGTGGAAACTATAGAACAATATCATTAATTTCACATGCAAGCAAGATTCTACTGAAGATTATCCATAAACGACTGGAACAGCACATCAGCAGAGAACTGCCAGAAGTCCAGGGTGGGTTTAGAAGGGGTTGTGGTACTAGGGATATTGTAGCTAATGTTAGATGGATCTTAGCTGAAAGCAGGGAATACCAGAGGAGTGTATATCTTTGTTTCATTGACTATGCAAAGGCTTTTGATTGTGTGGATCATAACAAACTGTGGCTGACTCTGAGAAGAATGGAAATATCAGAATACTTGATCGTGCTAATAAGAAACCTATGCTTGGACCAAGAGGCAGTCGTCAGAACACAGCAAAGAATCACTGCATGGTTCAAAATTGGGAACGGTGTACACCAGGAATGCATCCTGTATCCATACCTTTTCAACCTGTATGCAGAACAGATTATCCGGGAGGCTGGGGCTCTATGAGGAGAAATGTGGCATCAGGATTGATGGACGATCTATCAACAGTCTGCGTTATGCAGATGACACAATTCTGCTTGCTGAAACTGAGGAGGACCTGAAGTGCTTGCTGCAGAGGGTCAAGGACTGCAACCTCCAATATGGATTGAGGCTCAATGTCAAGAAGACAAAGAGTCTCACCACTGGGTCAATTGGCAGCATTAGGATGGATGGTGAAGAGATTGAGATTGTTTACAGCTTCAGTTTGCTTGGCTCCACAGTCAACCCTCTCGGCACCAGTAGCCAGGAAATTAGAAGACGTATTGCCATGGGAAAGTCTGCTGTTAGGGACCTCTCCAGAGTACTGAAGAGCAATGGTGTCTGTTTGGAGACTAAGGTGCATCTGATACAGGCTTTGGTCTTCCCAATCACTTGTTATGCATCAGAGAGTTGGACATTGACTAAGGAGGATAGAAGGAGAATTGATGCCTTTGAGCTGAGATGCTGGAGATGAGTATTGAGGGTACCATGGACTGCTAGGAAAACAAACAGATTCGTACTGAAAAGGGTCAGACCAGGCTGCTCATTGGAGGCAAGGATTCTAAGGCTCCGTCTAACATACTTTGGATATGTTGCGAGGAGGGACAGGTCCTTGGAGAGGGACATCATGCTTGGTGGGGTGGAAGGACAGTGCAGAAGGGGAAGGCCCTCAATGAGGTGGATTGATTCAGTGACTGGGGTAATCGGGATGGGTGTATCGGAGACAGTGCGATTGGCACAGAACAGCAGAGTTTAGGGATGTTGTACATAGGGTCGCTATGAGTCAAAAGCGATTCAACGGCACATAGCAAAAGAGAAATGCAAATCAAAACAACTATGAGATTGCATCTCACCCCAAAAACCATAGAAAAATTCAACAGAGCAGCAAACAACAAATCCTCGCGAGGTTGTGGAGAAACTGGAACCCTAAGTCACTGTTGGTGGGAGTGTAAAAAGGTTTAACCACTCTGGAAGATGGTATGGCGCTTTCTCTAAAAGTTAAATATAGCAACACCCTCAAAGCCTTTGTATTTGTACGGGCAGGACCCCTGCGCCTGGCCTCCTTTCCCCCCGCCAACGGCGGGGATCAAAGCCTTTGTATTTGTAACTCACAAGTTTGTTCTCTCTCGGTTTGCTCCCTTTCCTATAGATAACCTTAACACTGAGTTTTACTCTAGAATTAACTCTGAACCCAGTGCCAGTGACAAAAAGGAAATACAACTGACAGCTAAGGAAGCAAAGGAGAATGGAGCCTCTGGGTTCAACCAGCCATCCCCACTGG